CCTTCAAAGCCCTGCGCGTCGCGGCCGGGCGGGCTAGGGTCCAGGCGGACCCCAGTGTGTACCCGGACGGCTCTGAGCTACCTTCGAGGTGAACTTTGGGGAGAAACCCCCAGATTTATTCAGTTTGTTAAGCACGGAAAACACCTAGAAGCAGACGGTCTTTCCGAAGTGGTTTTAGTGAAACTCCAAACCCTGCCCCAAAACAGCTTCTCAGTCCGTAAAGTGCTTGAGGAGACGTGATCGATCTCGTATGATAAATGCAGTATTGCCTGTATAATTTACAGATGTCAAACTGAACTTGTTAAATTTGTCTTAATTGCTTAAATATTTGCAGCACTACGTTTTTCACAGGATTAAACGGCCAGTGCCCATGTCGCTGCAAGTCGCGTTCTCCTCTTCAGTAACCGTTCAGACAGGGAAAGCCCTGGCAGGCAAAAAGAGCGCTGCTTGAGGATGCATGGTGTGGATGAAATAGTTATAGTAAAAAGTAATAGTTACAGAAAATATTTAATAAGTGTCAGATATTGTCTATAATTATTCTTGTTTGTTTCCTGTATACTCAATCAGTACTCAATATCCAGCAACTTCTGTTAAGTGTTTGCTGAATACTGTTCACTAATTCCATGGCTTGCTTGTGGTGTAGGCAGATAGCTCAATGTGAATTTTAAATAATTTTGCCTAAAGCAATTTTCAGTTGTGTAATACTGGAACGTGTTTATTTTAACCTGAGTGTTCTTTCTCCTTCCTTATCAGCTATCTTTCTTTATTCCAACACAGCCCTTATCACAGAAGTATTTATTTACAATTCTTTCTTTTCAGGCTAATATCCTATACAGAAAGTGAGACTGAATAACACGCACATATGCTGATTACTGGAGGAGAGGCTGAAGGACACATCCTGTTTTGATTTAGCAATGTTATTATTCTTTGGGGTGAAATGGGGAATTTGATTCTGTTTTGGAAATATTCATGTTTCTATTGCAACTGAACTTCAGTAGCCTTTTTTGCAGTACAGATTTCAACAAATGAATTTTCCTTAAAGATGCAGAACCCGTCACTAGGACAAAGTCTTACTGATACAGACACGTTGCAGCGAATGTCTCTAAAAGACCTGGCAGTTGAAGTAGGTGGTACATCGTTTGATGAAAGTGACTATAGCTTGAATGGAAGGACAATTAACGAAGAAAGTACCAACCTTGAAGTCATGCAGCAAAGCCTCCCTGTAGTGAATAGCAAAGGGAGAAGTTGCGAGGGGTTTTCTGAGAGCAGTTATAGTACCTCAGAACCCAGTGGTTCCTGGGGTGATTTTGAAGGCTTCAAGGAGTCCTTGGATGAGTCAGAGAGATTCAGTCATAATCTTGAAATTTTCATGAAGTCAACAAAAACTTCTGGAGTTGATAAAGACTTAAGCAGCGGACACTGTAGCTCTAATGCTGGTCACTTTTTTCCTGAGCCATCTCTACACAGTGTGATACAGGATGCTTCAAGCTCTCCAAATGAGGTATGTTTTAATAGTAAACCAAAGACCAGAAATGTTTGTGTTGCTGCTTCCTACATCTCAAGATTTGTATCTGAATGTCTCTTCTATAAAGAATAATGTTGTACAGGGAGAGAAACTGTCAAGCTACTTTGCAGCTAGCTCAAGTGGAAGAAAAGCAACTTCTTTACAGTGTTTGACAAATACTTAAGTTATCCTGCTGGAGAGCTTTAAAGAATGTAATGCACTACTTTGCTTCTAGGCACTAGGAATAAGTAAGCACATAGAAATGATGAACCTTGCCCTGAAGCTCGTACAATTTAAAAGCTAGATAAGAATGAACATAGGAAACAAAAAATAGGCAACAAAAAAAGGGGGTCAAAAAGTGTGTGACTTGCCTGCAAGCTGTTTGAAGCAAAGCAAAGTAACACTGAGTTAGAAACTGGCAAAACCAGTAACTTTTGTTACTTAATATACTGCCTGAATAATCCAGCAGTCTTTCTGGGATTTTAGACTGATTGTGGGTGGCAGTTAATGACAAGTGAAGTGAAGAGAAATAATTTAGTATAATTTTTTTTTTTTTTTTTTTAGCATAGGATGTTACATTCTTTCATACACTGTTAGAACTAAAAATCTGAATAAATACTATAACATGTCCTTATCATCACAAAAAAATGGTTCAGGTTAAGGGTTATACCTTGTTGCAATTGATGTGTTTCCATGCTTGCCAAACACACATCACCAAAGTGGAACAAAGTAACGAAAAGAAAATACAAACATATAAACCAAAACACCCTCCTTCTACTTTTACCCTGAACTAAAACATTTGGAAAAGAGCAATCATTTAAGGCTTCCACGGGGTTCATGAAGAGCAATAACAGCTTACTACTTGTATTCTGCCAGATGAGTATTAGCATGCGTAGGGAACTGAGGGTTTTCTGGAGATGGGCTGTCTTGCTCTTGCCTGGGAACTTTACCTGTGGCAGAGGTGTTAGGGGAAGCATAGAGACACGCATGGGATAAGCTGTCCTGCACTGGTAGAGTGGAGATCACAAGGTACCTGGTTATGGGGTTGCAGAAACAGAATTTAAATTATTTGTAATGCTGAAAACTGGGGACAAGAAGTCTTATGTTGAAAAGAGACAGTATGTAATGACTAGAGCGGAAATAGAATTGTTTTCTTTCCAGAAGTCTTTGATTTATTTTTGCATTTCTTAAAGGCAAAAGGAAATGTCCAGTATGTGCTAAGTAAGTTAATGGTGCCTAGAGTTTCAAGTTGGCTTTTCATGTCTCAGGGTGGAAAAGTAGCTGCAGAGCTGTTGGAGATTTCTTTGGGTGTAGGGTGTAAGTATAGCTTGTCCTTCATCCCTGTGCTTTTTATTTGAGGTCATTAAGTCTTTGGGTTGGGGTTCTGTCTTCTGTATGGTCAATAGAAAAAGGTCCAGGTAGGTTGGAAGAGACCTCTAGAGATCTGAGGTCAGAGGTCTGACCTTTGACACATAGTGTTTCAGCTAATTACATGTCAGTCTGGAGCAGAATCATGTGGTTTAAGGTGAAAACAATCACTGATTTCCTGGCAGTAGCTGCTTATTTTGCCTACATGGTCAAATAAATTTAAGGATTTTTCATGTGTTCTTTAAATGCTGGCCTTTGTGAGAGTGCACTTCCTTAAGCTCAAGTATTCTGATATAATAGGATATAGAGAATTTAGTCAAAAAGCACCAATGTGAAATTTGTGCATTCCTATTTTTATGATTAAATCTACAAGGTAGATGGAAATATACCCAAATTTTGTTTTAGAAACACCCACTGAAGTAGCAAGTAATAAATGTAATAAAAAACTTGCATATTTTATCTGACTTGTATACATGTCAGAGTAGCATTACAGGCTCTAAGAAGATATTACAAATGAGGCAGGCCTGTACTTCACTCAATTCACACTTCTGCATCTGTAATTTTCCCCCACCCCCCAAAGCCAAGAGCAGCTACCTAATTTTTCCTTAGCTCCCATCCCATTCAGGTTTTGGTACCTACTTAGAAGCTGGTTTTTTTGTTTTTTGTTTTTTGTTTTTTTTTCCCCTTGACCATGACTCTCCATGTATGCTTTAGCAAGCGTGCTTCACAGAATTCTGCTTGTCAAGACATATTTCTCCTCCATATAGTACTCCTGTTGCAAGTTAAATCTACTGAAATAATTTATAAATCAGTTTAAAGTATTATGACACTTTGGGCAATATTCAAAGGATTTTTTACCCAGGAGTTTTTGAATGTCCCAGCAGTTGTCCTTCACGGTAAGCAGTTTAGCCAGGCCTTACTTGAGGAGGGAGCAGTGTGGTGCACCGTATTTATTTCTAAAAACATGCTCAGAAGTATAAAAGCCTTCTACCAGCTCTGTTGATTTTGCCCCCTTATCATTAGATTAAATCAGTACCCTCTCAGTATTTACTGCACTTGTTTGAGTTCAGTATAATGAACCTGTGGAAATATCTACACTTATTTCAGCTGTTTGAGTTACAATTAAATGAAACTGTCAAAATATGGAGCATGCTTACTTACGTTTTTCAGTTTAAATTGTTGATTGCTAGGCAAAGAAAACAAACTGGTTTTATTCTCTAGCTGTCACACAACATTGCTGCTCTTGGATTGCAGTCCGTCTGCGGGATGTTGAAGCCAATTAATTACTTCAATTCAGAAAATTACACTAATTCCTTCTTTGAAGGAATAAAAGGACAAATGTGCCATTCTGGACCAGATGGCATGATAACATTCCTTTAGGATGGGATGTAAATTATGCACATTTCTCCTAGTATATGTATTTCCTACTCTTCAGATAACCCTGTTACTTACTGTAGGCCTGTTTGGGTCACTCATGTGACTATGTTCAGTCCTCCAAACATACTCCTCATGACTGCTGGAGGAGGAAAAAGTATGTAAATCTGGCTCTGATTTTTAGCATAGTTCTGCAAAAAGTTTGGTGCAAATGCAAAGATACAGAGACATACTCACCCCAGCCTTTATGCAGACTTACACATTGGTAACTATAGCATTAGTAATATGCCACATTTGACTGAACTGGGTGTGTTTGAATACTAAGTTAGCAAAACAAACTTTCAAGTTTATGTATGCATCAGTCTTGACCTGGACTGAATCAACTGAGCAGAAGAAGGAGTCTTGAGTGCCAATAGGCAAACTGGTGTGTAAGTTAGGAGCTGGGAAGCTGGAGACTAAGTTTCATTAGAAACTCTTGGACTCTTGCTTCTCCTCCTCTAATTCTTGGCAAATATTCAAAACACTGAACTGTGGGCTAATTCCCCCCATGCAGTTAACAGTAATGCAAAATTTAAAAACAATAACACAATCTCTAGAAACATTGTAGCCATTGCACTAACTCCCTCAGGAACTGTGTGGATGGCCTGTGTAACATATGTAATAAAACTCCGTTTTTTCTAGGCAAGCCAGAGCTGTGAGGATATATTTAAGCTGAGCTTTCCAGAAGTCTTTGTATCACAGTCCAGAGAGAGCGCAAGAAGCTTAGATCAAATACTTGATACAAATAATGAAGATGTTGGGATTCCTGAATTCATGAAGACACAACTTTGGTAATGATCTACAGTTAAAAAAAAAAAAAAATTACTAAGTTCCTCAGCAATTACACTGCTTATTTCATAATTCAAAAATCAGTAGGACTTGCAGGTGAACTTAAAAATCTTTTTAATCACTATGCTTTCAGCATAAATATCTTGCCAATTTTGCATTGTGTTTTTAAAGGAAAAGTACTGTGGTTTAGCCATTGAAAAACAGGGAAGGGAATATATCAGAAATTAAAAATTCCTGCTTAGGGGTTTTCCTGCTGGTGTTGTGCCTTCTTAGGCCTAAGCCTCTGGAATGCCAGAACACCCAACAGGCAACCTGTTCTTCCTGTTTGCTTGTCCTTTCTTTACCACACATCTGACTGACTTCTCCATCATCTGAGGCAGGAGCATTGCTGCTGCTTCTACTGAAAATCCACTCGCTTGTTTTTTCTACCTTGCCCAGTTTTCCCTGGTGGTAACTTCTTATGTTTAACCAGATGTGCTTCAGAATCTGTGGTGCCTCTGGCTTCTTTCCTTGGGTTATGTTAATAGCAATTAGTATCATTAACTTAGCTTTCTCTTAAGACTGCTGGAACACTTTTAGATTTGTTATATCTCTTTGGAGGATCAGTAGCTTCTGAGCAGTATTGTAGCTACTGAACAGTTTTATAGTTATTTTGTATGCAGGTTTTGTATCTAGAAAGCTGGGTCAAACCATACTTTGGAAATGTCATAAGTATCACAAGAAATGTAGTTAAAACATTTAATGTAGGCATCCTTTCAGCAAGTTCCTTATACATGTGTTATTTTTTAATTAGCCTCAAACTTGTGGACGGGGCTTTGAGCAATCTGGTCTAGTGGAAGGTGTCCCTGCGCATAGCAGAGGGGTTGGAACTAGATGAGCTTTAAGGTCACTTCCAACCCTAACCAGTCTATGATCCTATTAAAAAAGACTGCAATATTATAGCAGAGTACCAGCTACAGGTAGAAAAGCCCCGATCTACTGTGGTGAATAATGAAGATCAGTGATAACTGCATCCTGTCCTAAGCAAAAAGCAACTGGATTTATATAGGATGAATGCAATGTAAGAATACAATGTACTGTGCAGTGGGAACTCTAATTATCCCTGTTTCAGTAGCATATGCCTTTGGCTTGTTTTGTAGTACCTACATGGCTAGAGCAGATGCAGGTCACCCACCAGACCAGCAGGCTGCTGCAGAGGAGAAGCTTGACTGGTAAGAAAGAGAAAGGTTTGAGAGACAGAAAATACAAAGTGCAGAAATAACAGGGCTGAACCCTACTCACATGTCACAGAAGCAATTGAATAATGCAAGTTGTTGACGTATAACAATTTCTTTAATATGCTTCTAATGCACTTGTTATCTGAGACGTCCAAATGTACAGTTATGTTGACTTGCTGTTTCCATTTTCACAAAAGCTTACTAGTACTTTGGGTTGATAATTTGAATGGATGTAGAATGAGTTTTAAGAGAAGTTGCTTTTTAGATCAAGGTAGGCTAGTACATGGCTGTATGTAGTGAAAATAATGAAGTTATATATGTTCACTGGAAACTTTGTACACCTTACAACCTCAAATGGTGTTTTCTTTCCTAGCACTGATTCTGGAAATATATGGAGAACACTTAGAAACTTTTATAATGCTCCCAGTATAAGACATCCCTGGAGTAAATCTCTTTGCCAAGAAAACCTCTTGAGTGTTCTTGGAATAGATGCAAATCAAAAGGTAATTGAACAATGGTTTGCTACGATGCCAGCATAAACACTTGTTACGAATCTCATTTTCTGTAAGCTATACATGGGGATAGATGCACGAGGAACTAGACTGGGTTGCAAGTTTTTTTTAGAGACTTTTAAAGTGATAGTCTGGTGTCTGCTCATCATTATATGTAAGGAACTATGAAATTGTGCAGGATCAAATTTTGATCATCTTTACACTGAAGTCTCCACTTTGCAGTGCCCTGTTGCTGGGTGATATGTTCAGCTGTAGTATAGATATAGAAATAGCTTTCAGATATGTTTATGATAAGATGTTTTCTTTTTTTGCTCAGAGGATGAGAAAATTGTTAGCTTCTAATATCCTTCCATTAAGCGAAAATCACATTTGATTCAGAGAGGCTGTTAAAGTAATTACTGGATATTTGTACTGTATATGAACTGAAGGTGTGTTCCACTTCCCTTTTCCTCAGATTATTCTATCTGGTTTTGCAAGGCTGGAGGGAAGAGTCTGCTTTAAATTGAATCGAGACCAAACCAACAGTACTGAAAATATCTCAAAAAGAAATGTCTCTGTTTACTTGTTTGAGAAGACAAATGTATCAGAGATGGCTTAGTATTCAGCCTGGTTATTTAGTTGGGATGAATTAGTCACATGTGGAAGTAACTGTCTCAATTGATAATTTGATTGCTGAAGCATAGGGCGGGAATACTGCATTAAATTTTGATTTTATGGACATATTTGACCTTTCATGCAAGTTATATGCAAACAGAATGACAGTGCTGAAGATGTAGAACCTATTCTGTACTTAAGTCACTTTTTTTAGAACTGTCACTTAACAGGAGAGAATGGGAGACATTTCTCCAATGTAGTTAAACTCCCCTTCTGTTCCTTTCCCATAGATACACTGGCATTAAATTAATGCCCAGGCAGCTTAAACTGAGGTCATTACTTGTTTTCTGGTACTGGAAAATTGTATTGATTTTAACAATACTGATGAAGATTTATTTCTCAGCTATTTTCTGGAGTAGTTTAAGGCTAATTTTATTTGGAAATGGCTTTTTTATTAATTTAAGTCAATTAAATTCATGTGTGTAGAACTCATTCTGGCATAAAATTGTTTTAATGCAAGGAGGGCACATGATAAATCAAGATACAGCTTCAGGAGGTAAAATCTAGTCATTATTATTACTTTGAGGGAAACTTCTCTTTAGGTTATGTGCTTTGAGATTAGATAGAAATACATAATGAAAGTGTAAATTATGTTTTATTAGGACTTTTTGGAGAGCGAGGGTGACATTTTTGAGGAATCAAATGTTAAAGATACTGAGGACTTCAGATTTGATGGATTCAGTATTAATGACTGCAAAGCACTGATCCAGACCAAGGTAAGATTGCTCTGAAAGTAAGTGCTTCAAAGAACCACGAAGTGTATTTCACATGTTCCTCTCTGCTGTTCTAGCCAGCTGTTCTAGCATGTGTCCTAATGTAATTGTTTGGTTCCAATATAATTGTTTGGATGTGGAGTTGCTTTTTGCTCTTTGAAACCTGCCTGACAGCTTCAGAAGAGGTGTAATATAATGTACCAAATGCAGAGCAACATAATACAGGGGATGCTGAAATACAAGGTTATTCGCTACGTGGACTGGGCTTCCCACCAAACTACATGTTGTTTGAGAGAGAGCAGCAATATGCAAAAGTAGCCAGGATGCTCTGACGACAAAAGAAGATCAGTGTATATGTGGAAGTATCAACACGCTGGTCACCGAGAATGGCAATTGGTAACCTACTCTTAAAATACATGGGAAGGGAGAAATCACATTCAAACTTGCAATTCAGATATTTGGAATGATTCAGATTTAGTTGACTCATCCAGGGAGAAAACAGGAGTTACTCTAAGAGGAAGGCAGAATTGATGTTTTAACTATAAGGATTTGAGAACATTACTGTTTTGAAGCTGTGTCACAAAACGGAGAGGGAAATCAGATGCTTTGTTGTTAGTGTGTTTTTGTTGTTGGTGAAACAGGATGTAATAAGCTTCATCTCTTTCTTGCTAAAGCAATGCAAGTTGGAAGGAATATTGTCATTCCCTGTTGTGATAAAAAAAAAAAAATCAGTTGCATTCTGTTTTTAACAGAGTATTTAGGATGAATATTCTTAAGTCAAGGTCCCTTCCTCAGTGGAAAATACACATGAGCAGCCATTGTTGCTGTGGAGATACACAGTTTGAGGTGCACTTTCATTGCTCTGTTTTATTCTGTTTACTGCACCAGGCAATGAAGATGTGTAACCATTCTGGGAACCTTGTACATAAGAGATGTTAGTCCGGGGAATTCAGAAAGAAAACCAAAAGAGACTGTCTAGTTTATTCCTTCATAATTCAGTTCTGCTTTAGTGGTGTTTTTTTTTTGTTTGTTTGGGTTTTTTTTTGTTTGTTTTTTTTTTTTACATGAGAGCGGGATCCCAGTAGCTGACGTACTTGAAATGTGTAAAATACAGAGGCAGGGTTTAGGCAAAGGAGAAAGTGGTTCACAGTAGGTGGAGAAGGAGAAAAAGAGTCATGCATGATACAAAGTTGAGGTAAATGAACAGTATTTTTCTGGAGAAGCCTCTGAGGGAAAGAACAAGCCCTGCTGCTTGGAGTCTCAAAGCAAAGCTCATCAGGAAGCATATGTTGCCATTTTTACTTCTAAGTAAGTTAAATCACACAGTGGAATGATTTCTGTTTATCTTCCTAGTTATGTTCCTTTTTAAATGCTAATTTTATTTTTATGAAAACTGCATAAAAATTAGATTGAAATATGGAAAGTGATTAATTTACTGTAGGATGGAAACAATTAACTTAGTTTTTTTTTTTTTCACTCAGCTTTCTGTATCACCAGACTCCAGACATGGTCATCTTTTTACCTGTGACCTCTTCTTGAAAACCACATCATCAAATGGGAACATGCAGTATATCACAACCCCAAGGAAGAAGCACATTTTCACTGCATGCAACCTAAAAATGAAATTTTTTCAGTAGTGATGTTTGTTGAACCAAATGCACTTTTTAATTATTTTGTTTTCTTTTTGAACTGAATGCAGTTTACCTTCATTTTGTTACTAGCTTGGTACTGTAGACTACACATGTTCTTTAGAAAAGTGACATGTTACTGTATATGAGGTTCCTAAAGCCACATTACTAGAAGATATTTAGTTGTGAAGTCAAAGGTGTAATTTTGCCCTACTAAGTTTTGCTGCAGCCATGCTTTAAGGGTACTGCAGTGGACCTGAACTACTGACCTTTCAGGCCTTAATGCCTCTGATCAAAAACCTCCTTTACCTGCAAAAATCTAAATGCAGCTCGGGTGCATTGTAAGGTGTGCCCTGTCACCATCACTCCTTCTATTTGGTCCAGTTTGGATCAGCTGAGATCTGTTACTTCACCACTACTGAACATAACAAGAGGAGCCGTCTACATATGGTGGCTTTCACTGAGCTTTAGTCTAACAAAACTGTTTTAACTTCTGATAAAGCCTGCTGTGGTGATTGAGTAGAGTCAGTGAACATTTTGCTCTGACATAGGTTTCTAACTGAAATAAATCACCTCTCTGAAGCTGACATAAACAGTACTTCTTGGATTCATTCAGCTACCAAACACCTCCACCCCACACAGCCACACTTGTTAAAGCCTAGCAGGGGTGTAGCTCAGGACTTGCACTGCACAAGCCTGCAAATTGCTGCCCTTTAAAAATTTTATAGAAACTATCAACTATGTCGCCCATCTTTCTCTGTGCTTGAGTGCCAGAGGGGATGCACATCACTATCATCCATGTAATCCGTGGTGCTTCCTTGCCAACTGCAGCAGCTTTATTTATTCACTGGTAATAACTTTTACAGAAGTTACTAACCTATTTACTCCTTTGGCCATTCTGAATGTAAGAATTTAGTATGGCTTTTAAGGAGTTCCTGAGCACTGCAAATGATATTTTATGTGTTAAAAGCAGGGAATAAACCTGAATATTCCAAAACTAAGTTAATTATTTAATGATGTGCCTAATCAGTTCCTAGAATTAAAAATACTATAAAGCACTGGCAGACTCCAATCCTTAATCTAGTAAACTGTTCAGCAGTAAAATTACAGTTGCTATAATAACTTAAGACTTCAGTAATGTTTGTGATGGCTCAGTGCTATTAGCATGGGATGAATGTTGAATTGGTTACTCAGTAAATGGTAACAAGCCATCTGGGAAAACACTATTGGAAGGTGGCTGAGAAGCTTCCCCGGCCCTAGAGGGAGTTCTGCAGGACCAGACCGAAAACTCAGTCTAGTTGCAAGAGCAGGGTCAACTTCCTCATTTAACACTGGATTTTAATTCATTTTCAATTCACAGAATCACAGAATGGTTTGGCTTGGAAGGGACTTTAAAGATCATTTAGTGCCAGCCCTCCTGCTATGTGCAGGGACACCTTCCACTAGACCAGGTTGTTCAAAGCCCCATCCAACCTGGCCTTGAACACTGCCAGGGATGGAAGGAGCAGCCACAGCTTCTCTGAGCAACCTGTGCCAGTGTCGCAGTGTTGTACTGTGTCACACGACCCTCACAGTAATATATAATCTAATCTAATCTCCCCACTTTCAGTTCCCCATGCTGTTCCCCATGTCTTGTCACTACATGCTCTTGTAAAAAGATGCTCTTCAACATTCTTGCAGGCCCCGTTTAGGTCTTTCAGAGCAGTTAAACATGTATTAAGTAGCCAATAGTCATGAACTTATAAAATAGTAAATGGCCAATACATGATGAAGGGGTAATTGAGGTTGGTAATAAACATTATTGAAATTGATTATAGGAATAAAACCCCGTGTTTCTGCTTTCAGACAAGCAGGGACCCGTGGAGGGGCCCAAGGGGGCAGTTTGTGGCATGTACAGCACCAGCTGATGCACCAGGGCCTGGAGGTCTTCCTTCCGGGTGCCCAAGCTTGCTTTTGCTAACAGTGGATGAAGCTATAGATGAGTGTTTTGCACTGTTACCCCAGGAGAAGGGCAAACACATCAGCTTTCCCTTGTAGCAGAAGGTTTTTCAGCCCTGTTCAAGGTGCACATGGGGGAAAAAAGGGTTTCAGCCCTTTATGATTCAGTAGGGAAAAAAACCTACTGGAGTTGTAGAGGTGACATGGTCCACATTTCAGGTCTTTCTTTTTTGGACAGATGCTTTGGGCCACCTGAGCCCTTCCTGCCTGTGAGCACTGGCTGCACAAGGAGAGACCTTGGTCTGAGGTGAACTAGTTCAGCTCTTTGAAGAAAAAGACTAGCAGATCTAAAATGACAAAGGAATTCAACTCAGCTTCAAGACTGCAGAACCCTGGCAGCCCTCCAGCCCTCACCAGAATTTGGGCACAACGTGTGTGTTTGGGGGTACTTTTAACCGACGAGAGCTCGGGGAGACAAATTGTAGCCGCCCGTTTTCAGGTGTGGTGCGTAGCATGAAGCAGCCTTGCTTTCCGCGGTTATCCTGGGAAATGTGGGGTGCCGGAAACCCCTCTGGAGCGTGTTGCACAAATGCTGGTTATTCATTTCCTTTAGTCACTTCCTTGTTCCTGCCTTTCCCGGCACCCAGCCAAGCACACCAGCAACTGCTGTACGCCTGCGCTCCCACCGCATGGCTGCAGAGAAGTAGCAGGTGCTTATCCTGTGAAAATGGTGCATGGAGGAAATAAAACTTCGTATTTTAGTATGTTTTAAGGTACAAATTTCATTATTTCTCATCTTAGTTGTGAGCCCTCCACTGTGAAACGCTGAGTTTTGATGAACTAAACTTGTTACTGTACTCTGTGTTTGCAGAAAGCAAACATCACAGACTTCTGACATTTGCTTAGGATTTGGAAAAGGTGCAAACTAAAGCAAAGTAACAGTTTCAGACAGCACAGCTAAACAGAAATGCCTTTTTCTTCCACTGAGATTACGGGCAAAATATACCCATAGAATTAAGTTTTAAGAAGTTCAAATCAGCAATGTAATTACTGACATGTTTCTTTTGTAGAAGGAACACTGTAAGCAGCTTTACAAAAAAAGAACTACTCTGTGAAAGCCTGAAAATACCTCAATGCATATTCTGTTCAAAGGTATAACAAAAAAGTTTTAGAAACAGCATATTGCCAGTGTTTGTGGACTTAGTAGTAAAAACTCCAAGTAATACGGAGAATTTTATTAACAAAAAAAAAAAAAATGGGAGGGGGCATTCCAGAGCTAGGATGATTTCTAATGGACCATAAGCTCACCATTGGCTTGAGATATGCTGAAGACTCAGTGAAAAACAAACATCTTGTAAAACCTTAAACGTTCTTTTCAAAGTGCAAGGCCCTTGCAGGATTTAAAAGCACTCTGGTTTTTTAATAGTGAAGATCAGTTTTAATGATCATCCCATTTAAAAATGGGAGGACTTTCTGTAGCACTTCTCCTCCAGTTAGGATGGCACAGAGAGTTTGGCTAAAAATAAGCTGCAAACTAATTCTGAAACATCAGACTTCTGTGTTGATTGAGTTTAACCTACCAGATCCACTCTGGAAGATGCAAAGCAACACGTAACATACTCTGGCAGCAGTTGCAACAGGCTCAATTCAGCCACATTGAGCACCTTCTGCAGAAATAGGGGTGAGAACCTCTGGAACTGTCATCCCATTGCACAGCCAAAGCTCAGCCAACCCAGCTTAGTGCTCTGCTGGCATGGATGGGTCCTCACCAGGGAAAAGCATATGGAATGAATGTGCAGCATTTCCTTCTTCTTCCAGCAAGGCAAGATACCTGTGAATGTCCAGCAAATACTTAAATGCAAAAAATCTTCCAGACTCCCCAACATCTGCTTTAATAACACATTCTTTATTTATAGACACTTGCGCATCTTAATAGCTTAACCCTTCACTTCTAATGTTGTTTTTTAATAACTTAAAATCAGTTTTACAACTAAGTATAACTTGTCTTCCTCACAGAACTCGTGAGTAGGTTATTTTCTTCTGTGTATTTTACTCTTGCTTGAGCTAGAAAGTGATCTTTTGAAGTGTCCCTTCCTGTATGTGGAACACTGAGCTAGATGGAACACCCCGGGCAGCGTATGCATCTCCCCAGCCAGTCATATATTAAACCACCATTGCACTGAGCTATGCCACTCAGCAGGCTTTTAACTTCAGGTCTTTCTGTGTGGCTAAAACTGATAAAAGTCTATGAAATTTTACACCATCTTTAAAGGGTCTTAACATAACCTGAAAGCAATACTTCAAAAATACTTTCTTACAAAACTAAACTGCAGCATACCTTTGCGAGACAGCATTTTCTCTTGCTGATCTTCAAGATCCACCGGTCCAAGAGCAGGTCTGTACCACAGTGTCCCACTCTAGTAATGCAGAGAGTGACAGGGCTGCCATGATGACAGTAACCTCCTCACAGCCAAAACCAGGTGTCTGTGAAGAAGTTACTTCTAGATCTAGGCTTTTCATGCTGTGGTCAGCAGGCTCCAGGACAAAGGTAAGAAGAATACCGAGTTGGCAGGTAGCAGCCAGTGCAGCCTTGTCAACAAAACTAAGTTCATTGCACAAGTCAGGACCTCATTATAGAGGAACAGGGTGGAAACTTTTAACCCTGAAGGTGCTGGTGTAATCTGCTGATGTAGCACAGACCAGCAACACCCTTCTGCAGTATTTTTGTCGCAGACTGACAAGGACATGAGTCTGAAGTGTCGACATTATGTGCATCAAGGATACTTGAATCCACTGCTTGCTTTCCAGCACAGCAACTCCTGAAGCAATGTCAAGAACTACATGGGCCAGGAAGACTCTGCAGGGCAGTCAAGACAGCAACCAGAGGACAGGTAAGTGCTAGCAAACATTTGGCATGTGTTTACAGCAGTAATCCCCCAACCCCACTAGCCTGAGTAAGTGTTCTCTGGGCCATCCCTTGTTCTATGGGGACAGGACACACAAAGGGATGCAATGTTGTAGAAAAAGTTAGTCGAAACTTAGAGCTAACAGCACTAACATTAGTAACAGCT